GCAGGCAGTCCCACCCTGCATTTGGTGGATCCTGAGGATTGGAATTCCAGTCCTTGTGCTTGTAGGTCAAGCACTTTAACCACTAAGCCATCTTCCCACCCCAAGGAAGAATATTCAGCAACAAAATATCTCTTCAAGACCTGGTTAGATTACTTTGTTCAGCCTAGATGTACACACATGAGTGCTTCCTATACTGTTGTATATAACTGTTACACGTTCAAAATACTTCATGCAGCCAGGCATGGTGGTGGTGCATAATTTTAATTCCAGCACTCGGGAGGCAGAAGCAGGCAGATCTCTGTGAGTTTGAGGCCAGCCTGGTTTACCTAGTGAGTTCCAGGACAGCCGGGGCTCCAGGGAGAACCCTGTCTCAAGAAAAAAAGACACACACACACACACACACACACACACACACACAAAGACTTAAGGAGCATCTCTCCTCCTCTCAGGGATCTCCACAGCAACTTTTAAAACTGTGGAACTTAGCTGAGAACCAGACATGTGTGGTAAGTGGAAGAGGGTGACCACGAGTAGAGGTGGTGCCCCGGAGGGCAGCATGCCACGTTGCTCCTGCAGAAGGAGTGATGGAGACAGCTGGTCAGGCTCCGCTGGATCCCCTTTCCTGCCTCTGATTCCAATGTATTGCCTCTTAAGCTGCCAACAGATTAATATTTTTAAATATTTTATTTTATTTTATGTGTATGTGATAGATAACTTTAGTGTCAACTTGGCATACCTGGGTTGAGGGTGCCTCAATTGGGGAATTGCCTCCTGGTTCCTGCCCGAGTTTCTACCTTGGGCTCTTTCAGAGAGGAACTGTGACCTGGGAGATGTAAACTGAATAAACTCTTTCATCACCAAGTTGGTATTGGTTGGAGTATTTTGTCACAGCAATGGAGAATCAAACCAGAACAAAAATTGGTACCAGAGAGTCGGGCATTGCTATGACAGGCCTGACCTTGGTGTTTTGGGGAGGATTGTGGAAGCATTTGGAACTTTGGGCTGGAAAAGCCATTGAATGCTTAGAGTTTCTTGCTGTGGAGCTTGGAACAGTTATGTTGAAAGAGCTGTAGATAATGGATGCCTGGCTTGTGAAGCTTCAAAGGGAAGCAGAAACTATTAGGGCTGTTTGTGTGATATTTTGAATTGCGAATCTATGGTTTTTGGTCAGCTGGGGCTGAAGAATCAGCTGTGATTAACAGTCCAGAACCTGAAGTAAAACCTTTGCTCTACTGGGACAATTGATGCTGCTTAGCTGGGGCTGAAAAATGAGCTGTAAGTAACAAGAGACCAGCATCACTGTGGTGAAATCCTCTGGGAAGCATTTCCTCAGGGTCAGCACACAGAAGCTGTGATTGAGAGTGGGCCCGAGCCTCCAACTCCAGCTAGAAGCAGGACTTGGTAATGTGTAAGAGTCTCCTGCATGGTTCTGGTGTTGAAAGTGTGAAGAGGTCACAGAGAGCAGCTGAGGCTTGGCACTCTGAGAGGCCAGGAAAGGCCATAGGTGAAAGTACAGCTTCAGTTGCAGTGAAGACTCTAGGATTGAAGGGGCCATACAGAGAATCTGAGGTTTGCACCCCAAGAGGCCAGAAGAGGCCATTGGTGAAGGTGCGGCCTCAGTTTCAGTGGAGACCCCAGCTTTTTGGAGATGCCAGGACTGTGGGAGGACCACCAAGGGTGGCAGCAGGTGTGGAATGGAGCTGGCCTGGGTCTGCGAGACAAGCTGTGTCTGCTGTGGACGGCAGAGTCGGAAGTGGAGCTGCCAGAACCCTTTGGAGGCCAGAAGATTCTGAGTGACTCCCAGATATCCAGCCTTGAGTTACTTTGCTGGACTTTGGTTTTGCTTAGGTGTGCCTGATTCTTCCCTTTGAAATAAGACAGTACTTGTTTTGGCTTTTATAGGAGACCATAGTTAAGAGACTTTTAAAAGAGACTGTGAACTTTTAAGTGTTTGGATTTTTAAAGGACTGTGGGACTTTTAAGGTTGTACTGTCTTATTTTGTGATATTAATGTTAACATCATGTCTTGGGGACAAGAAATGGACAGGTTATGGTTTAATAGTGATGTGTTTGTGTGTCAAGTTGACAAGGGGTCAGTTGTGCTGGATAGCTTTAGCATCAACTTGACACACCTGGGTTGAGCGAGCCTCAATTGGGGAACTGCCTCCATTGAACTAATTTCCTCCATTGCACTGACCTGTGACCATGTCTGTGGGGCATTTCCTTGATTCCACTCCACTGCAAGTCATGCCCCCTGGGGTCAGGTGCTCCTGTATTGTATGAGAAAGCAGGTTGAGCACAGGCCAAGGGAGCAAGTCAGTAAGCAGTGATCCTCCATGGTCTGTGCTCCAGCTCCTGCCTTCAGGCTCCTGCCCTGAGTTCCTACCTTGGGCTCCCTGATGAAGTGTGACCCAGGAGATGTAAGCCAAATAAACCCTTTCTTCCCTAAGTTGGTAGTGGTCAGAGTATATTGTCACAGCAATGAAAAAACAAACTAGGACAGTGTATGAGTGTATTGCTTGCCTATATGTAAATAAGTACATTGGTATTGTGCAGTGCCTTAGGAGTTCAGAAGAGAGTGTTGGATCGCCTGGAACTGGAGTTAAGGATGGTGGTTAGCCACTCTGTGGGTGCTGGGAACTGAACCTGAGTCCTCTGCAAGAGCAGCTGTGCTCTTAACCATCTCTCACTGAGCCATTTTCCTAGTCCCTGATAAGGTCTTTTAAGTACTGGCACAAATGATATCTCTAAGACGGAAAAAGAGCATTGGATGGAAGGCTAAACATCAAGAAAAAGTACCTTTTTCTGCACAAGAGCTTAAACATTTGTGTTGAACAAAACATCGTGAGTTAATGAGTTAATATTTTTGACTCGAGGTTATGATTTTTCTCAAAGTTTTAGTTACTTATGCTATTTTCAGAATTTCAAAAGCTTTTTCAAAAACCATGGTTTAGTTTAAAGTGACTCAATATAGTCGGCTCTGTAAATGGAAGGTTGTGGGAGAGGGAAGGGGTTTATACTGAAGAAAGAAGTTATTGCTTTCAAATGCCAGCATGTGGCATGAATTAAGTTTTTTTTTTAAGTTTGAGAGCTGTAATCCTTTAAAAAATGCTCAAATGACTCTTAGAAAGTTAAAGCAAATTGAATCTGATTACTTAGTAATTAAAAAGCAATTCATAAACTAGGCATGGTGGCACACAGCTTTAATCCCAGCACTTGGGAGGTAGAGGCAGGTAGATCTCTGTGAAAATGAGGTCAACCTCATTCTAGGCCAGCTGGGGCTACAGGGAGACCTTGGCAACTACAGGGAGACCTTGGCAACAACAACAACAATAAAAACAAATTCCCCTAAAATAAAAAACAAAAGAGCAATTCAATTATTATAAGCCATATTTCTATAATCTTTCTAAGGATAAAGCTTAGGACTTACAAAACTCAGTTGATTAAAATTACAAGTAGATCTGAATAGAAATGATTCCTTTGCATGGATAGAAATTTTGACTTTAAATTTGGTCATTCTACTGTTACCAAGCAGTCAGGTCTCTAACCTACCACCTCAATATCCCAAAGTCCAAAAGAAATTAGGAAATAGAAATCAATAAAGGAAAGTGGATTGTTTTCAGTTTGGCCAAACTGGGGAAAAGATGTGTTTCCTTTCCCACGTTCCTTTGGCAGATTTACAATTAACAGAAAATGATGAGACCAAAGTCACAAGACATGCAGACTTAGGTGCAGGTGGTTTAGCTGGTCCTTTCCAGAGGGGAAGGGTGTGTGTGTGGGGTGTGGGGGTTTGGGGGGTGCCTCCACTGTTTCTGTTTTCAGTATGGAGGAGCACAAGTGACTCTCCTTAGCATTAGAATACCCAGCTCGGTCTCTCTCAGTATAAGAAAATCCTGTGATAACACAACTACCAGCATAGCAAATCTTTTGTTTTTGTGTTTTTGAGACTGGGTTTTGCTGTATAGCCCAGGCTGGCCTCTACATAGCTCATCTGGCCTTGAACATCCTTCTGTTTCAGTCTCCTAAATCCTGGGATTACAAGGATGAGCTACCACACCTGATCATTATAGGATTTGAGAAGAGAGCAGTTGGCCCTGCTTAAGCGTGATCATATCTTTACTAAAGATAAATGGATTTAAGAGCCTATAGCACATAGTCGCTGACAAGTGTGTCACCTAGAAGTTGCCATGACACTTTTCCTCACCTCAGGAGAAAAACTCAGGCTAGACTTCCCAGCCCCAAAGGGGCAGCACAGCCTGTGGGCTTCTAGGTTCCTGGGTTCAAATCTTCCCTCAGACGCTTCACTGTAAGAACTCGGGCAATTCAGTATTTCTATGCCCCAGTTTCCTCACTAGCAATTGGGGAATAATTATTTTCTGCTTTGTAGGTTTGTAGGGTGATTAAATCAATTCATATAAAGTTTGGCAGTTTGGCAACAAATTCTCAAAAGACAATCATTTTTGACTGGGGAAGGCTTACTTCCTATAAAATTCACACAAATTAAACGTGTCTAAGTTTCTTAACATATTTTTAGTACGTTCAGACTCTTAGTTCAGTCAGGCAAAGAATATTCAACAATGTCAACATTGCTTAGAGAAAATATCTTCTCTTGGTGACCTGGTAGAAACCCTTCAAAACAAAAGAGAAGGTGGAGAAAGGCCCTGGCAGACATACAAGTTTGGGGAGTTGTTTAAAGAAGTCATTGTATTCAGGTGGCTGAGCAGGCCACTGTAAACACCAGGAGATGTAAGTAGGAAATCAGAACCCATTGTGGTCCACCAAATGGATGTCTTTTCACAGTAACAGATCAACAGATTGCTATCAGCGAACAGAGCCCCTCCTGTTCCTTTCTGTGGGTCATTTCCTCTGAATTGAATGTAAGAACCACCCAGTGGGGTGGTTTCTCAGCATTATAGGTTTTTAGGTCAGACAGAAACCCTGGGGAATGCCTGAAAAAGCCAAGCAAGTCCTTACATCTGGTCAGACTGGGTGACGTGGAGCAACTCTTGTATGTGGCAGAGTCCACACTTAAGTGACATTCCCTGCCAGAGCACCGCGGAGCCTGGAGTATGTGTGATCTGGCTAAGCGCTCCTTTGGAAGGAGCTGAAGTTTTTCTAGAAGCTGAAGGGTCGGAGTGAGTCCTTGGTCACTTTGTCTTCACCAGGCCTGCCATGGAAGGGACGCAGGAGCCTTTGGTCATGATCGTGCATCTCCTAGCCGACTCTGGGCACGGCTCGCTTCTGCAGCGGGCTCTGGACCAACTCCTGGATTGCATCTGGCCAGAGGTGCACCTCTTCCTGGTGTCTGAGAGGGTCAGACGCGTGAGCTACCATGAAAAGTACCACCCTCGGAGGGCCCGCTTCCCCGGCATGTCTGTTTTGCTCTTTCTGCAGGAAAGCCTTGGAGAGGAGCGATTGTTTCGCGTTTTGGACTTCCTACGGAATCCACCCTGGCAGGGCTTCCCTACCCACCACGCGCAGGGGAAGCCCTGTCCCTATCTCCCCCCAAATCAAGAGTTCTACAGCCTGCACAACCAGATGCCAGTGTGGGGCGTGAGGCAGGTGCACTGTGGCACCGAGATCCTCAGGGTGACTCTGTACTGCAGTTTTGATAACTACGAAGATGCAATCAGACTCTATGAGATGATCCTACAAAGGGAAGCCACCGTGCAAAAGAGCAACTTCTGTTTCTTTGTGCTCTACGCCACCGAGGGCTTCAGCCTGCAACTCTCTCTGAAGCAGCTGCCTCTGGGAATGTCGGTAGACCCCAAAGATTCTTCCGTATTGCAGTTCAAGGTTCAAGAGATCGGCCAGCTGGTGCCTCTTCTACCCAACCCGTGTGTTCCCATCAGCAGCACCAGGTGGCAGACCCAGGACTACGATGGCAACAAGATTCTGCTACAGGTATTTTCTCTCTTACTTTCCTGGTTTTGTACAAGTGTTAGCAGAGTTGTTAGGTCAGAGCCAGAGCCCTGAAAGTTCTGATAAGCTAGGCTGGCATCCATCCTTAATAGAGGAGTTAAACAGACAAATAACAGCGAAAAGCAGAGAGAGGATATTTATTCAACAATGTTGCACTGGGAAGATGAACAAATACAGAGGTCCAGTGACCCCAGCCCCACATGAAGTTTAGGTTTAAATAGAGGCCAAGAAGCAAGCCTATTTAACTAAGCAGTCCTGGTTAAGGTGTGGCCTGCCCTCCATCCAGACACCCAACTTGGTCACTGCTCCAGCCTCTCCTGCAGGGTGGTCTGATTAAGTTGTCAGCACCGTGTGAAATCTCTTTCTGGGAGACAAACTCCCCACAGTCACTACTGTCCTGGTACCAGGCCCCCAGCACCAGGGGCCCAGCATTTTTTGCTTTCAGCATGAGGTTGCTGGGGAAATTCCAATTTCATGGGTCTATTGTGTCAATACCGGAACAGCCAGAGGGAGGGGCAAAGTGACTTTTTTTTCCAGGACAGTCAGGGCAGCACATGGAATGGTGTGACAGTATACCCGGATGGATCCTAGAGGTTGATTTGGTCAGTAATGTACAACTTTGACTGCAAGTTAGAAGAAGCCTTGGGAGATTTTTAAAAAGTTTTTATTATCTTTTAAGTGTATGAGTATATTGCCTGCCTGTATGTAAGTGCACCCACATCATGTAATGCCCACAGAGGTCAGAAGAGAGTGTCAGATCCCCTAGAACTGAGTTACTGATGGTTGTTAGCAACCATGAGGTTGTGGGGAAGTAAACCCGGGTCCTCTGGAAGAACAGCAAGTGTTCTTAACCGATGAGCCATCTCTCCAGCCCCCTTCCTTCTGTTGACACCTCTGGACCCAAAAGCGTAACTCTTACCTCAAAGGGGAAAAGAGATAGTTTATTCTGGAGCCAAATATAGAAGAGAGTGTCAGATCCCCTAGAACTGGAGTTACAGATGGTTGTTAGTCATCATGTGGATGCTGGGAACTGAACCCAGGTCCTCTGCAAGAGCAGTCAGTGCTCTTAACCACTGAGCCATCTCTCCAGTTCCTCTGGGGATATTTTTCCTATCACAATTGCACCCCAGGCTGATTACACCAGCATGTCTGGGTGACCCAGAACCTTTTGAAAAGAGAGCTCATTGTATAATTCTAAAATACAGTGTGGTTGACAATTACAATTTAATATTATACGGTCCCTTCACGTGACAGGTGAGAAATTTCAGACTTGGGTAAAATTGAAGCTGAAAAACTTGAAGCAGTAAAGTCAGACAATGCTTCCTCCCCAGGATATCCTTCACCACACCCATGACCTGTTTGTGCACACTTAGCTCCCTCAAATTCAGGAATACTGCTACTAAGGAGAGGAGTCGCGCCAAAGTCAACAGGTTATTGGTGAAATTAGGGTCATTTCTTGGGGTTTTTAGTCTCATTAACATTTAAGAATGAAGACAAATGGAAGCTCAGGACAATTTTATTACAATTCAAAAGAAAAAAATTGCTGGGCCTGGTGGTGCATGCCTTTCATCCCGGCACTCAGGAGTCAGAGGCAGGCAGAGCACTGTGAGATTGAGGCTAGCTTGCGCTACCAAGTTGTAGGCAAGTTGGGGCTACAGGGAGACCCTCTCTAAAAACAAACAACCCCCAAAACACTCCAAAGCAGGCAAGTTGTAACTCTTAGCAGCTGCCGCTGATAGGAGGGAGATAGACAGAGAAAGGGAAAGAGTCATGCTGAGTTAATCTGGCATGGCCTTCAACCGTATGGTGGGGAGGGAGTTTCAGAGAAGGAGTGAAGCCTAAAGTGTCAGAGAAAGCATGCTTAGAAAAGGGTTAGAAGCCAGGCATGGTTGCCCATGCCCTTAATCCCAGCACTCAGGAGGCAGAGGCAGGTGGATCTCTGTGAGTTCAAGGCCAGCCTGGTCTACATAGTGAGTTCCAGGCCAGCTGAGGCTACCAAAAAGAAGAAAAGGCATAGTTATGCTTTTCTGAGCAATTCAGAAGAACAGACTTGCAGAGAAGCTGGGCTATGCTCTGAAAGCTATTGCACTAGGACTTGGGAATTCTGGAAAGACAAAATACATTATCTCATTAAAGAGATCATTACTCCTCTTTAGTGTGACTTAAGGTAAACCTGCCTTTCTGAGAGGTGGTCCCCTAGCTAGGTGATTGACCAGCTCAACTGGAGTAACTCTTTTATGTTTTAGGTAGCTGGGAATGTTAGCTGTCTGTTCAGTCCAAAGAAATAGCTTTCCTTCTAATGGGCTCCTGTCAAGCCCTGATCAAGGCTACTGTGCTAATATCACTAGCTCATTCCACTTGACCTGAGGAAGTTCAAGTTGTAATGATGTTTGGGAATGTTCAGTTTGTTGTACTATTATCAGCTTAATTTTGAAGCATCTTATATTACTTTTAAATTTAGCCACAAATCAAGTTCAACAGCCAAAACTCCTCCTAAAAAATATCTGAAATTAATGGGATTGGAGAAATGGCTCAGTCGTTAAGAGCACTGACTGCTCTTGCAGAGGACCTGGGTTTGATTCCCAGCACCTACATGGTGGCTCACAACTGTCTGTGACTCCAGTTCCAGGGGTCCTTCTTCTGATCTCTGTGGACATCGCATAACATGGAGGCACTTACACTCAGGCAATACACTCACATGTAAAAAGTAATAATAAAATATTTTTAAAAAATCTTAGCCGGGTGTGGTGGTGCACGCCTTTAGTCCCAGCACTTGGGAGGCAGAGGCAGGAGAATCAGATCTCTGAGTTCAAGTCCAGCCCATTTATCGTCCTCTTTTTTTTTTTTTTTTTTTTTAAAAAAAAAAAAAAAAAAAAAAAAAAAAAAAAATAAGGCCACCTTTCTTAGTCATCCTATAGATGAAACACAGCCAAGTGTGTATCTTATTATGACAGCTGCCACTGTGTTATGGTGTACAATGTCCCTCCTGAGCTTTACCACTTAGTAGTTGTGTGACCTTGCTATTAGGTGATACTGGCGTCTTCTTACATTAAGGTTGTTACCTGCCTGTGTGCTGGTTAGTTTTTGTCACCTTGACACAAACTAGAATCACCTGGGAAGAGGGAACCTCAGATGAAGAATTTCCTCTATTGGATTGCCTGTGGGTTTGCCTGTGAGGCTTTTTTATTAATTGCTGATTGATATAGGAGGTCCTAGCCTATTGTAGTGGTGCCGTCTTTAAGCAGGTGGGCCTGGGCTGTATTAGAAAGGCAAGTGAACAAGCCAGGGGGAGCAAGCCAATAAGCAGCATTCCTTCATGGTTTCTGCTTCGATTCTTGCCTTAAGTTCCTGCCTGACTTCCCCCAGTGATGGACTGTGAACAGGAAGTATAAGTCAAATAAACCCTTTCCTTCCCAAGTTCGTTTTATCACAGCAACAGAAAGCAAACTAGAACATGAAATGACCTAACACGTATTAAAGTTCATCATTAAGTTTCAGCTACTGTTGTTCATATTATGCCCTAAAGTTTTTAAACTGATTTTATTTAATTCTTATAATAAGCTATGAAGTTGCTATTTTTCCAGTTGTAGATGAGAGGATTAAGTTACCTGCCCAAGATATAACTAGGAAGTGTTTATCAGATCTTTAAGACTGTTTGGCTAATGATGGTACTGCAGTGTTCCTTGGGAGTATGTGCATCTAAGTATTTGGGAGGTACATGATGTTCACAGCAAAATATCCCATGGTGTCTGTCCTTGGGAAATGGTCAGAAGCCTTTTAAGGCCCATTGGATGAAACAGTAGGTCACAACGAGTTATTTTCTCTTAGTTTTGTTGTCATTCATAAAACATGACTCATACTGATTTTACATTAAATAATCTCTAAGTTATTTTATTTCATTCTTTTTTGATTTTTTTAATTTAATGTATTTGAGTGTTTTGCCTGCAGTTGTGTAAGTACACCTGTGTGTGCAGTGCCTGAAGAGGCCAGAAGAGGGTGTCAGATCACCTGAAACTGGAGTCACTAATTGTTAGCCATCATGTGGGTGCTGGGAACCAAACTTGGGTCCCCTGCAAGAGCAGCTAGTGCTCTTAACCTCTGAAGCCCCCCTTTTTTCTTTTTTTCCTGTGAGTAAAACACAGGAGATACTTATTGAGCAAAAGAGAAAGCTCCAGGTAGCTGGGAGAGGACTTGAAAGTGGGCTGCCAAATACATTACTGGAGAATCAGGGTTCTCTTTTGTGAGTTCTTAGTCTTATTGATAAACGAATTAAAAAACCCATTCAGGGTTGGAGGAGATGGCTCAGCTGATTAAGGTGCTTGCCACCAAGACTGATGGTCTGAGTTTGATCCCCAAGACCCACATGGTGAAGAGAGAGGACTGACTTCTGTAGATTGTCCTCTGACCTATACCACAGACACACACACACACACACACACACACACACACACACGAATGAATGAATAAATGTAATAAAAATAAAATTTCAAAACCTGACTCAGAAGAAAGCTAGAGGACCATTTTATTAGAGTTTGAGAGAAATTTTTAAAATCCACTTGCCACCTACCTTCCCCTGCTTCTTGATTTAATTTTTATTTTGTGTTTGAGTGTTTTAGCCACATGTGTGTAAGATCACACACATGTGCCCACAGAAGCCAGAAAGAGGGTGTCAGATTCCCTGGAACTGGAGTTAAGGACAGGCATCAGCTACCATGTGGGTGCTGGAAACCAGACCTGGGACATCTGTAAGAACAGCCAGTGCTCTTAACTGTCTCTCTCTCTCTCTCTCTCTCTCTCTCTTGTTTTTTTGAGACAGGGTCTCCCTGTAGCACCAGCTGGTCTGGAACTTGCTATGTAGACCAGGCTGGCCTCAAACTCATAGAGATCTGCCTGCCTCTGCCTCCCAAGTGCTGGGATTAAAGGCATACAGCCCCACACGGGCCTACTCCTCTCTTCTTTAAAGCAAACATTCCTCTATCTTA